CTTGCTCTGAGTTGGAGCTCTGATGACACAGTCAGAGAACAGGGAAAAATAGGGAGACTAAACTCAGTGTAGGACCTGGCCGGAGACAGCTTCAGGTCGAGCTCCACTTCCCATATGTGGGCTGGGGCAGGCAGCCAGGAGGCTCTGGGGAGCGGCCTGGGGGCAGCCCTGCTGCAGAGGACAGGGACCTGGCCTCGGGGACCACGTGCCTTCTGAGATGCTGATGGAAGGGATTCTCTTCAGAAGGAGGCTGGTGCCAGCACACATTTCCCTTCCAGCTCAGGGAGTGGACATACCTGAGGCCTGTCCATGGACCCCCACCCACCCCTGGAGAAGTCACTGATCTGGGTTCCAGTCCACTCTGATGGCAGAAGGGGATGAGACGGGGGTGGGGGGAGCTGAGACCTGGCAACCCTGAAGCGGAAGGAGGGAAGAAGTGGGGCTCAGGCTGTTCTCAAGCCCCTCGCCCCTCCTCCCCTGCCCCCGGCCCCTTTCAGCTTCCCAGGAGTAAAATTTCTTTGTGACCTTTTCCCAACTTCCCGCACTCAGGGTGTATACAGACCAGAAACTACTTTTGGGGAGAGGGGAAGAGAAGCACCGAGGCCTCCCGGGGTGTGCCTTCAACCCTCGCCCCCAGGCCAGACTCCAGCCTGGTGCCCTCACACTCCCGCCCCCATCCCCGCCCCGCGTCCCTGAAGAGGCTGCTCACCTGGATGACGACCTTGATGGTGGCGGTGCCCACGATGGGCGTGCACACCAGGCCGCCGGGGTGCTGGCCGTCGGTGCTGCGGTTCTGCTGGCCCATGGTGAAGAGCATGGGCACGGCTAGCAGGCCGGAGGCCAGCCAGATGGCACTGATGAACTTCTTGGTGCGGCTGCGGGACATGAGGGTCTTGGCCTTGAAGGGGTGGCAGAGAGCCAGGTAGCGCTCCACACTCAGGCTGGCCACGTTGAGGGCCGTGGCGTGGGTGCAGGCGTCACGCAGGAAGTAGTAGCCGCGGCACACGGAGTCGCCGAAGGCCCAGGGGTGGTGTACCCAGATGAAGTTGTACAGCTCGACAGGCATGGCCAGCAGGAGGATGAGCAGGTCGGAGAGCGCCAGGCTGCCCAGGTGGTAGTGCACCGTGCTCTGCAGGTTCTGCAGGGACCTCTTGCGCGCCAGCGTGAACGCCGTCACAGAGTTGCCCGCTGTGCCCACCACGAAGAGCGCCAGGTACACGGTGGTCACCAGCACCTTGGAGTAAATGTCCGTGTTCACATCCAGGTCGCTGCTGGGCGCTGCTTGGACGGGCTCCGACACGTTGCCCGAGCTGTTGCCGGAGCCCGAGGTCAGGGGCGCCCCCTCCGGCCCCGACGACAGCAGCGGCAGCAGCGAGAA